GTGGAGGAGAGGACCTCTGGGAGTCAGGTGGGAGAATCACTATTTCAAATAGGAAATGAAGGAAGACCTCATGGATAAATTACTCTTTTTTTAAAAAAATATTTTATTTGTTCTTTTTAGATATACATGATAGTAGAGTGTATTTTGACATATTATACATGAAGTATAACTTATTCTAATTAGGATCCCATTCTTGTGATTGTGCATGATGTGGAGTTTCACTGGTGGTGTATTCATATATGAACATAGGAAAGTTCTGTCCAATTCATTCTGTCTTTCCTATTCCCACCTGCCTTCCCTTCATTCCCCTTTGTCTAATCCAATGAACTTCTATTCTTCCCTCTCCCTCCATTGTGTGTTAGTTTCCACAAATCATATAGAACATTTGGCCTTTTTTGGGGGGGGCGGGGATTGGCTTATTTCACTTAGCATGATACTCTCCATTTCCATCCCAATAAATGACTCTTAAAGAGAAAACAAAGGAGGCAAGAGAGTAAGGCAGGTTAAGGTGGTAGGAGGAGAGTTCTTCTAGGCAGATGGAATTGCAAGTGCACCAGCCTTGTGTAGGAGAACAACTGCAAGAAAGTCAGTATGAAGAGGGTAGGGTGAACTAGGGAGACGGTGGAAGAGAACAGATTTAGCAAGATGGCAGGGGCTAGATGATGCAGGACCTATTGACCACTGCAAAAGTGATTTTTTTCTAAGAGTGAGAAAGAGAGACAATCTTCTTGAACAGATGAATGACATATTTGAAATTACACTTTTAAAGGATCACTCCAGCAACTACTGAAGAACAGATGATATGGGATAAAGGGCAGGAGCAAGGAGACCAGTTGGACTATTTGTTATAATACAGAAATGATTGGTGGCTGGACCAGGGTGACAAGTGTCACAGTGGCTGGACCACTGTGACAAGTGGTCAGGTTCTAGATGTGTTCTGAAGGTACAATGGATAGGACTTGCTAATTGATTTATTGTGGACTGTGATAGAACTAAAAAATGACTTAAGTATTTTTTTTTTCTTTTAAGCTTGAGTTTCAATGCGGTTGTAGTTGGCATTAAACAAGATGGGGACCACCTCTAAAGGTGCAAATCTGGGACGGATATCAAAAGTTGGGTTTTGTAGAAGGTAAGTTTGAGATTTCTATAACTTATCCAGGTGAGGACATTGAGCAGGTTGCTGGAGTTCAGGGGAACTATACAGACCAGAGAGATGAATTTGGAAATCATTAGCAAATTATTAGAATTTTTTTTTTTTTTTGGTACCGGAGATTGAACTCAGGGGCACTTGGCCACTGAGTCACATCCCCAGCCCTATTTTGTATTTTATTTAGAAACAGGGTCTCACTGAGTTGCTTAGTGCCTCGCTTTTGCTGAGGCTGGCTTTGAACTTGTGGTTCTCGTGCCTCAGCCTCCCAAGCTACTAGGTGTGCGCCACCACGCCCAGCTAAATCATTGAGATCTTAAAGCATGAGACAGGATTGGATCATGAATTCTTGGAAATATGTAGTAAATAGATAGACCCAATTTCTTTTGCTATGACAAATAGTTTATATGCAGTTGCGCGTAGGTGAACAATGTCAAAACAATGCAGCTGTGTCAGAGGAAGGAAAAAGCCTTCAACTTGGTTGCTGCAGTTAGGGGCCCCTTTAGCTTTATTTTAAGAAAATGCAAAGTGAAGTTCTGCACTCAGGGCTTCATCTCAAGGAGGTAACCCTCAGCCTTGCATAGTTCTTGCCGCGGGCAGATTGCCCTTGTTTCTGGGCCCACTTTAATGGCAACTGCACTGTTGTAGAGTCCCACTTCCATCTGCATTGTCTCAGCTCTCTCAAGCCACAATTTCCTCTCTGTTACTTTCTTGCATTTTTAATATCCCTTGAGGCATTCTCTAGACATACCAAGCAGCGTGTCTGAGCTGTTCGAGTCATCACCTGCTATATTAATTTTTTAATTTTGTTAATGCTCTGCTTATAAAGTTGCATAAATTTTGAGTGTTCTGTCCCGACTCTGTTATTTTTCTATAAGCCTTAATTTTAGTGTGTGAGTTTGCAAAATGAGAGATTTTCTAGGGTTGGGTATATTATTTTATATCAGAAATGCTTGTATACATGGAGTTGGCATGCTACTTCTGGCCACATCTTTCTTGGCATTTTCACCTTTAGGAACTATACCTTTTATATCAGGTACACATGCCCTTCCCTCCTCCCTCAAAAAAAAAAAAAAAAGAAGAAGAAGAAAAAGAAAAACCTGGAGGTATGCACGTAACCCAAGCTAGCCAATCAGAATACACTACTTGCCTGCCATGCTAATTCTTTCATGGATGGACCCATGATCCAATGATCCAGCAGAACCAATCAAATTATTCCTAGAGCGATCAGGAGGGAGAACTCTGATTCTGGAGTTTTTCTAGACACTATTTTCCTTTAAAATGATGCCATTACAGAATATTACTCAGCCTTAAAAGAGAATAAAATTATGGCATTTGCAGGTAAATGGATGGAGGTGGAGAACATCATGCTAAGCAAAATAAGCCAATCCCAAAGAACCAAAGGCCAAATGTTTTCTCTGAAATGTGGATGCTGATCCATAATGGTGGGGGTGAGGGCAGGAAGGGGGCAAGGGAAGAATGGAGGAACTTTGGATTGAGCAGAGGGGAGTATGATGAGGGAAGGGGACACGAGAGGGGGGAGATAGTAGAATGAGATGGACATCATTATCCTAGTTACATGTACATTTGCACGAATGGTGTGACTCTAATCATGTACAACCAGAGAAATGAAAAGTTGTGCTCCATTTCTGTACAATGAATTGAAATGCATTCTTCTGTCATGTATAATTAGAACATATTTTTTTAAATAATGCCATTACAAAAGAGGCACAAATTAACAATTCAGTAAATTATTCATCTTTCGTGCATTTCTTCCATTCTTATTTTCCTGGAAGATTCCCAGTGATTTTTCAAGACTTAGTGCAGTTATCATCTTCTGGTGAAATGTGTCATGACCTATCCCTTCAAACACACCTACCACACAAAGAGATGTGAGCTTCTTACTCATTCCCAAAGCACATCTCTTTTATAGCATTCTTGTGTAACTCTGGTTTTTGGCATTCTTGGAAACAGAATTGCCTTATTCATGTCTATAAACCCAGTGCATAGTAGATACATAGTAAATGTGAGTTGAATGAATAAAGATACGATTCTGATAGAATATCTGGCTGATTGCCTTGTGGACACATTGTGTCACACACACACACACATACACAAATTCTGAAGGAATATAGGATTTTCAATAGGTAAGAATTTTGATCCAAGCTTAAAACAAACAAACAAAAAGGCACTTTGTGTTAGCCTTCTGTTACTATAACAAATACCTGAGATAAATCAGCTTAAAAAAAGGAAAAAAAGGCTTATTTTGACTAATGGTTTTAGAGGTTTCAGTTAAAAATTGATTGGCCCTATTTCTGCGGGCCTGTGGTGAGGCAGGCACACCATGGCAGATACACGTGGCAGAGCAAAATGCTTAGTTCACGGCCAAGAACTGCGGGAGAAGAAAGAAGAGCCAGGGTTTCACTATCCTATTTGAGATCATGCCCCCAAAGACCTGAAGACCTCCCACTAGGCCCCACCTCTTAAACACTCCATCACCTCCCAATAGTGCCACAGGCTGGGGACTAAGCCTTTGAGACATGGGCCTCTGGCAGACACCCAAGATCCAAGTCAGAGCACATTTCATTGAGATTAAACTTGAAACTAGGGCAGCAAGAGCGAATGCAGAGTAGGGAAGACTTTGTAAAAAGGGAACAAACTAAATTGGAAAAGTAATGCCACCTTATAGAATTATAGAGGTACAGAAACCAAAGAATGGTATTATTCAGTAACATAGGTATAGATAAGGAAGAAAAATAAAGGAAAAGAGAAGGGAAAAGATGGAAAGTATAGAGGTGGAAAGGGGAGGCGGAAGTATGGATAGTAGATCTTTCAGTTTTGTATAAAACTTAATTTTCCACCATGTTAGTCCATATGCTGGGCTATTGGGAAGTGGAAATGAAAAGCTCACAGTTCCTATGAGTCCCATTCTGGGGGAGATCTAGGTTTATAATGGTGGTGAGAAAGCAATGGGATGCCAAGAAGGGGGTGCATGTTGCCAGGGGATAGATCACTTTTCTGAACAGACAAGACCTTCCTATCTTTTTCCCAGAGTTGCAGGAAGTATGGCAGCTGAAATGTTGTTCCTAAGTGGACAAAATGCTTCATCTTTCCCCCCATTCCTGTTTCTTTCTCTCCAAACTATAATCTCTCACCCTATCAAAGGGAAAGGAACATGCTTTTGGTCCTAGTTTTGATATGATGCAGGCAGGGCTGCAGAACAAGATGACCTCTGCCAGAAAATGCCAGGTCCCAAGGCAGAATTGCCCAGCCTATAACCCTGACACTATAGGGCACCTTGGCTGTCTCGTTGAAGCATCACCACCCAACCCAGCTTGGGTAGAGCTTTGGCTGCTCTTCCCACTTCAATCAGATTAGGAGGGATTCCCTTGGTGCCAAGGTGCCATTATTGGCCTATAGTACTTTTCCAGGACCCCAGGGATATCCCAGGTCTCCTTGGAGGTGCAAGTCGCTTGTGTGTTGGCTCTGGAGGGTAATATGGGTATTCTGGGTGTAGACACCAACCATGGAAAGGTCTGGACATCACCATATCCACCTGGCAGGTGGAAATCATGTCAGATAACCAGAGGGGCACGAAGGGGAGCAGGTCCCTACAAGGTAGGGCCCTGGAAGAGGGAGGATCTGGGGAGAGGAAACATCTACAGAAGAAGATACACCTGGGATCTTGAGGAGCTGGCTGTCCCTGTCTCTGGGCTGGGTGGGTTCTGACACAACCACTAGGGGGACACCGAGGATGGGGTAGGGGGCGAGTGGAAGGTTGTGCGGGGCTAGTGGGGCATCCGTGAGCCAGCTTGGCACGACCCAAGGGAGGGGCTTGGCAATGTCGTGTGTAGATGGCATGTGGAAGGTGTGTTGCTTTCAGATGAAGAGCCTGAGGATGGAGGGACCTGGGGTGGCTGGGAGCTGGAGAGAGAGACCCAGGACGGAGGCTCTGGTCCTGTGGAAGTGGGAGGTTGTCTTGGAGGGGCTGGCTGTGCCTGGCGCGGCTCTGGCGCCGCCGCCTGGGGGCGTCGGGCAGTGAGCCCTGTGGATCGGGGCGACGGGAGACCGCCTCCCAGCGCTGGTCCCGGTACCTGCTGGGGGCGGGAAGGAGAGGGGCACAGGGCGCCGAGAGGCGGGCGCCGAGCGCGTGAGTCACTTCGCTCTCCTGGGTTAGGAGCGGGACTTCGCCTTCCTCCCGGGGTCTGCATTTCTGCTCCAGCTTCCGCGGCTCCCCGCTGCACCCCGATTCCCCTCCTGAGGCCGGACCAGCCGCCTTTCGGTCTAGGTGAGGGCCAGGTAAGTTTCTCCTCTTTTGATGCCTCCTGTTTGGGTGACTCCGAGGAGGGGGACAGCGCGGAGGAGGGTCTTCCAGCCTGTGTCTGTGCCTTTGCTTCCTCGGTCTGATTCTCTCCATCGGAGACAGAAAGTTAGATTTTAAAAACGCAACAGAGAATATCAAATTCATGCTCAGACCCCAGACAAACCAAACTCCGGAGCCATATTCTTAATTTCCCGGGTACCTTCAAATGTTCAGATGCGACGTTTATGGGGCTAGGAATGTTTGATTTGTTTTGTGTTTCCCTCCTCCCCCACTTTCTTGCAGGGTGATTCTTAAAGGTGGGGACGGGAGAGCCCCAGGGCTGAGCTGGGATCCTTTGCCAGGGCGGTTTCTTCATTCTGAGCGAGGAGGCAGATGTTTTACTGTAGCCCGAGTTGGGATCTTGGAAGAGCCCTCCCCAGCTCAGCACATGCCAGGGCTGGAAGGTAACTGCAGTTGTTGCATACCTATCTCGTCACCATTGATACAATCTAAATGTTATCAGGGACACTATCCACGCGAATGCCAGGATAATGTTGAAACAATTCATTCAAGGATTCGATTGAATATTTTATTTGTAACGTATTACATTTCAGGAAAATGTTAGGAGACTACTGCTGGTCTTATTTATTTATTTTTCTATTTCAGAAATGCTTCAAAACCTATTATTTCCCTTACAAGAAATATCAATGATAACCTATTCTGTGTCTTCTAAGGACTAAACAATGCAAAGCTACATGTTAGTTTTTCCTCTACCAGTGTGTGTGTGTGTGTGTGTGTGTGTGTGTGTCTGTGTGTCTGTGTGTTGCTAACACTAACTGATTTGAGAAAAATCAATGTGGGGAGGAGGTATTTTCCCCTATCCCTGTCCTTAAACAGTAGTGTTTCTTTGACCATGAAATAGCCATTAATTGTTGCGTGTGTGTGTGTGTGTGTGTATGTGTGTGTGTGTGTGTTGCTTAAAAGTAACAGCAGAGAGAACCTCCTAGAATACATGAATTTTGGGCTCATGTTGACAACTGATTGCTTTATAATCAATATCGTTTGGTTTGCTGCAATGTTAACAGGTGGTTTTAATTCACAACACAGAATTATTCTGTTCTAGAAAATATCCCTGCTGATATGAGAGGGAAATAGCCCCCCCTCCACTACCACCAAATAAAACATGTCTTTATCCTGCTTCGTGGGAGAAAGATGGGCAAGGGAATCTTTTCTGGCAGTTGATTAGTCCTTGATCATAAATTGCTCTTTCTGAACTGTCATCTGGTCTGTGATCATAGAAAATACCCTTCCTCGTCCTGGGAAGAAAATTAATGAAATTTTAGACTTTTAGTCAGGTCACAGGGAGAGTTCTTTAGAGTTAACTGGAATCTTTGCTTATCCTCTTGTAATGCCTTCCCCAGGAGACCCTCCTAAATGAGTTACGTTTCCCACTTCGCTAATGTCACAGCTTCTCTGCGTACCTATGTCATAGCTCTTACCATCTTGCTCCTCTTTGTTTACACATTAATTTTGCTCAGAATAGCAAAATTTCTTTGGGGGGGGTTAGGATCTTATTCATATTTATATTATTGAAACCTAATAAAGTAGGAGGTCTGTTGAAAAATGAATGAATGAATAAATAAATTTGGCAGTCCAGACCAGGTTTACTATTCCTTGAATACCATCTGGGCAAGATTTCTTTTTCAATTCTAAAAGATAATCCTTTTAATCCAATGGTACTCAAAGTGTGGATCCTCAGACTACAGTGTTCTAAATAAATGAGAGTTTTCCAACATCTGTATATTAATTGTGAAAGTTGTGACTTTGCTGAAAGTAATAAAACATGAACCAAAAGGGTTTTTAGTAAACAGAGAAGTTGGACAGCAGGTGATCATTATGGTCCCATAGTGTTAGGGTTCTGGGTCAGTGCCTTATCCTCATGGTTTCAAAATGGCTCCAACAGCTCCAGACATTATGTCTTCACCCACATCAAAGACAGGAAACATAAGTAAAAAAACAAAAACAAAAACAAAAACAAACAAACAAAATCTGTTATTAAGTTAAAAAGAAAAAGATGAGAGCGTAGAAAAGCCAGAGTATTTCCCCTCGTGCAACTTTTACCAGAGAAGAAATGTTTCCCCAAAGTTCCTTAACAGAGTTTCCCTTTTATCTTATTGACCAGATCTGGGTCACATAGCTGCTCTTAGTGGCAAGGGAGGCTGGGAAAGTAGCAGGCTTTTCAACTTCTACAGTGGAAAAGGTGGTCAGAGAGAGGGAAGTTGGAGATGACTAGAAAGCTAACCAGAAAGACTCTCTTGAAAATAGGTTCTATTTGAATCTGTGATTGTATCAACGATTAGACCACAAAAAATATTGAATATAAATCAAGGTAGCAAAAGCATATCCAGATTTTCCTCTAAAGTGTATAGTATTTTAAGGTCAGATCATCACTTTTGCGGAGTGTGTGCTATGGTTTGGACAGAGTTTAAATATGTCCTCCAAGGCTTCATGTGTTGAAATTTAATTATCACTGTGTGATGTTAAGAGGGTAAAAACTTAATCTGACTACGGTGTTTAGAGGTGGGCCCTTTGGAAAGTGATTAGGATTAGATAGTCATTGGGATAAAGCCCCCATGATTAACTCCAGGTGGCTTTATAAGATGACAGATACCACAGCACACATATGTGCGTGCTCTCCTTGCCTGTCTCTTGCCACCTTAGGATGCCACCAATAAAAAGGTCATTACCAAATGCTTGCCCTTGAACCTCCATATAATCTTATAAGATTTATAATCTTATAAATTATTATAAGATTATAAATTTCCTTATAAAATTATTTTCCTTATAAAATTACCCAGCCTCAGGTATTTCATTATGGTAATGCAAAACAAATTAATATTGTGTGTTAACTTTTAGAAACTACACGCACACATACACACACACACATTCTCATACAGTTTCCATTTTGTTAAGTATTAGTCAGAACTTGGAACGGAGTAAGCATTTAGTAAATAGTTGTTTTGTGAGTGGATTATTGAGTTTGGGAGCTCAAAACTTCACAGGGGCATGGAAAAGGTGGCAAGGGATTAACAAGAAATAAATGGTTCGGCACCTATGTCCTGGCATGCTGGCTTATAGAATTTAATAGTCATTAATTTGGATCCTAAGAACCTTGAGAGCAATTCAACAGAGGGGACAAGAAGAACCTAAAGGGAAGTAATGGGTGCTGACAATGTAGGTCAATAGATTTTCTTTGGGGGGCATTCTCTATACCTGTACTATGGAAGATGTATCACCAAAGAAATAAAGGTTCAAGGTGATCCCTAGCACAACACAACAAAACAAAAACCCCACACAAATGAGAAAGTTTATATATGAAAAGAATATATGTAATTGCCAGCTTTGATTCTTAACTTTCTCTTTGCAAGTAGAAGTCCTCAAATATTTATAGGAAGAGCCAGGTTTGGGAACATAATGTTGGGAGATCAGATAAGCAAATGTCAAGAGATTGAAATGTAACAGTTGCAGGGTCCTATGTCTTAGATTTCTTACCAGTCAAGAGATTGGTAGAGATTATCAGTGGTTTTCAAACTTTGTTACACATTAAAGATCACTTGGAAGGCTTTTAAAAATCCAGATTTATGGGTCGATTCTCATACCACTTAAATTGGAACCTCTGGGAATAAGACTCAGGTATCAATATTTTAAAAACCCCCTAGATGATTCCAATATGCCCTTGAGTTTGGAAACTATTAATTGGCCAAGACTGCCATACAAAGTGCCATAGATCATATGACTTAAAGAACAGAAATTTATTTCCTTAGAGTTGAGAAGATTGGAAGCCCAAGGTCAAGGTGTCATCAGGGTTGGTTTCTTCTGAGGTCCTTCTCCTTCGCTTGCATGTGGCCACCTTCTGTTTGTGTCCTCACAAGATCCTTCCTCTGTACATGTCTGTGTTCTGACCTCCTTTTCTTATGAGGACACTTGTTATATTGGATTAGGGCCCACCCTAATGATTTTATTTTCACTTAGTCACCACTTTAAATGTCCTGTTTTCAAATACAGTCACATTCTGAGGTCCTGGGGGTTGGGGATTCAACATATAAATCTGGGGGACACAATTCAGCACATAACAGGAACTATTGGTTAAGTATGGCACTCCTCAATCTTTATTGTGCATACAGGTCACCTGGAATTCTTGTTCAAATTCAGATTCTCATTTAGAAAGTCAAAGTGAGAATCTGCAGTTTTAACAAGTTTCCAGTGCTGCTAATGCAGCTCATTCACAGATTGCGCTTTAGGTAACCTGGTCTATCTAGATCAGTGGTTCTCAAACTTTGACAGGCATTGGAATCACCATGGAGAAATTGCTAGAAGCAGTTTGCTGGCGTCTGGTCTCAGAATTTCTGATCCTATAGGTTTGGGGTAGAGTCCAAACCTATAGGATCAGGTTTCTTTCTTCCTTCTTTCCTTTTTTTTTTTTTTTTTGTGTGTGTGTGTGTACCACAGACTGAACTCGGGCACTTGACCACTGAGCCACATCCCCAGCCCTATTTTGTATTTTATCTACAGACAGAGTTTCACTGAGTTGCTTTTGCTGAGGCTGGCTTTGAACTCGCAATCTTCCTGCCTCAGCCTCCGGAGCCGCTGGGATTATAAACGCGCATCCTGGTGCCCGGCAATAATTTGCATTTCTAACAAGTTTCCAGGTGATATTGGTGTTGATGGAGTAGGGATGATAGTTTGCAAGTCACATATCTCTGACATTTTGACACTTTGTGGTATTGGACAAGTCAAGGTCATTACACATATCATTGTATGTTTGCTATCCTAATTGCTGATGGTATCACATTTTTCTTTTGCCAAGCTCAATTACTTTTTCTGCCCATAGGACAGAGGATGAGGAAATGGGAGAAAAAATGCAGTATTGGGATTTCTTTTAATCTCTTACACAAATATAGATGGATGAAGACAGAGGCTACATACCACCCCATTT